GTCAATAACCAGGAGTATAAATATTACATTATTACTGTAACGTATTAAATGACCATTTGTTTACTTTAAAAATGTTATATAATCAATTGAACAATGTTTGAAATGTGTTTGTCGTTTCAGAAACATATATAAAAGTTAATCAAGCAAGTTTCATGCAACTAATCTTGATATTGGTCAGATTTTTGAGAAATCTTGCAGTCGGCGTAGTACTTACTATTTATCAATTAATTATGATTTTTAGTTGAGATAAAAAGTCAGTGTCACGAGCGGGATTCGAACCCACGACGGCAAGATACGCCGCTGCTCTACTACTTGAGCTATCCGGACTTCGATCCACTCGGACACCAACTTGACATCAACCCCACCTTTGAATTTTCTCTCCATTTTGAGAGGGAAGTTGGTGTCCGAGTGGATCGAAATCACGATAGCTCAAATGGTAGAGCAGCGGCGTATCTTGCCGAAGGTCGTGGGTTCGAATCCCGTCGTGACACTGACTTTTTTATCTCAACTGAAAACCCTAACTAATTGAAAGATATTAATTGGTCAAGCGGACCACGAAAACTAGTGAACTTAATATTTATCTTCTAATAGGACCAATATGACACTCCTTTTTGCATAACTCTCGGTTTTCGTTTGAAATATGACGAAATATTTTGAAGTCCTTGACTAATTTTTAATCAAAATTTTTACATAAAATAGGTTAGGGATTTTATCGAGTTTAGTTAATACCTTTGGTGGTATAATTAAAAATTGTTGTCGCCGTTCCGGTAAATAATCTGAAATGTTATACTTGAACTTCATTTTCCCTGGAGTATTTCGTTCTTTTACAGAACACGGCAGCCCAGTTTTTGCGGATCAGTTCGATTCTATTTTGCATATTCCATTATCGTTGTAATAACAGAGGGGCCAGGTCTGGATATTATCTCTGATCTTTTTTTACTGTTTATTGTTCCTTTCTACTAGGGATGGCGCGTAGATCGTATCCTCGAAACGTGTGAGGAAGAACGAAAGGGTCGGCCGATTCTTGCGAAGATCGATAAATTTCCAGGAAAACAATCGAATCGACCTGCAACTTCCGCTCTTTTCTGTCACAAACAAAGAGATGATCTTTCACAAACATGGGGGGGGTTGGAAATTTTATTTATTACGTTTCTTTTTTATTGATCCGTTGGATGACGATAAAGGACTGATAGTAACATAAATGAATTATGTAATAATATAGCTGTGAACACAAAGTTTATTTTTCAATCATTCAATCGATCAATCAAGACGTATATGTATATCTTTTAATTTTCAGAAATCTGGTTCATATGACATTTTCCTTTTTTTAATCCATTTATGTACATGCATTTGTTTTTCTTTATACATACCACTGTTGGTAACCTATACTGTTATTATTATCATTACTATTTTTTTTGAGTGGGGCTTTCGATATCTATGTCGTTTCAGCGCACAACTAAGTCTATATTCTATTTACCCTTTCAATCACTACATTATACAAACAAATACATTCATACACATAAATACATCCATACACATAAATACACACTCATACGCTCTCAACGCTCGAGAGGCGATGATGACGTTATATTTCATCCTCACCCCTCGCCATTCACGCAAATAAATACATGCACTCAGATAAAACATATAGACACATAACACATAAAACATATATACAATAAAAATAAAAATAAAAATAAACAATTTCCCCTAAAGACCAGAACAGGGGACCCAGAAACCGCTGCAGTGCTCGAGTACCATTTTCAGACTGGATGATATGCCTACACGCTCCCTTTAGGGAGCCAAGGCATGACATGTTTCCAGTATGTGGGACACATCGAGCAACCTTTCTCTGTATAAGGGGCACCTGCACGGGCTTTGGCCCAAGAACAGGTGCCCGTGTGTCAACCGCGTTTGGCCTATTCTTAATCGCGTAAGGACGATTCCTTGTTTCCGACTCAGGTTCTCGGGGGGGCGATTTACGAATCGTGCTCTTGACGCGCAAAAGCCTCTCGGACGACCGATTATTACTATTATTAATCCATATTTGCTTAGTGGTCATAATTGTTCATATTAGTTAATCCAGTTAATTTTCTTTTTATCTAAGGTTCTTGGTTGAGATGGTAAATTAGTGTCACGAGCGGGATTCGAACCCACGACATTATTATTATTTCGTTTTTAACCTTAAATTATTTTTTAAATAGAATCCATAATAATTTAACGATAAATAAATTGGTATAAAAATTATAAATACATAAATAAGCTTTCTTCTTGTCTTTGATCTCGATCTGGACGCATAATGTAGCGTTTATTCATTAATTAAACTACTATATAATCAATTGATAATTGGGGCATCGGTGGCAGCAACGGTTCAGCCATTGACACGGCGCACATCACTGTAAGGTAAAGGTCCCGGGTTCGAATCTAGCGACCCTGCATTCAAACCCGACATTACGAATGGGCACTTTTTCAAAAACACCGGCTCCCTGAGGGTTGAAAGACCTCTGCTGTTGCGAACCCTCGCAAAAAAATAGTAATAGTAATAATAATTGACAATCAACAACCTAGCAAACATAAAGTTAATTTATTGTACAATCACAAAATAATATACATATCATTAATTTCCAACAAACAATAACCAACAACTAATAATTAATTAAAAATTAATGGCAATAATAACTATATAGTATTTTATAATCTCAATTATTTAACGATGTATAAATAATAAATAATAATTGAATGAATATATATTTTTTACATCTCTTGTTTTTTGGGTTTTATTTGGAGGTTTAATAAAATAATAAATTAAATTGTGAATTATGCAAAATTAGTGACAACCATATTAACAATATGCTTGACAGTTGCACAGAGGTTTTAGCTAAGATATTATACACGGTATTAAATGTTATTATTACTAATATTAATTTTTAAGGGCGTTTTAACGGCTAAGGTCATTTACGCCCTTAACATCCAAACCTTCAATCTTAAGTTAGCTATATCTCTTCTGAGTGCTATAGAGCTCTGACTGCAAACATTCACTCATAAACTAATCTATTCTATTGCCATCCAAAGCTTTATTTTATCCTTTTCAAATGTATGGAAAAATCCCATTTCTTTATATAAAATTTAGTTCCTGTTCTTTAATTAGAATTTCGAATTTTTGTTCCATAATTTAAACATTTCCATAGGCTTGTATGGCCAATAATAATAATAATAATAATGCGGTCGGGGGGGGGGGGGCAACGGTTTAGGCGTTGGCACCGCGCTCATCATTGTTAAGGTCCCGTGTTCGAATCCAGCTCATTCAGCTATTTCGATATCGGTTAGATCAGTTCATTCGAACCCGTCATATTTACAAACGGGCTCTTTTTCAAAAACACCGGCACCCCGAGGATTGATATAACCTCTGCTGTTGCGAACCCTCGAAAAAAAAAAATGGAGTCAGACTAGCAACAGTCTCAGCATGAGTATAGGCTTATCTTTATCCTTTTATTCTTACATTCAAATATGATACATAAACTAACGCTACTTAACAATAATTAGAAACAACATCTTTATCCTCTTTTGTCTTTTTGGACGGAGTCTATCTTTCTTATTTAAATGGCGATTTTGGGCATTGCAGTTTAATACCCCACAATTTGTATTTTCTTCTAATTCATTTTCTGCTCGGGCAGCCTTCAAAATTCCTGAAAAAAAAAAGAAATTTTGAACATACAACTCTCATTCAAACACTAACAGACACACATGGTATAACAATTGGGGAAAAGACGGTATTAATTGTTAAAAAAAAGTATTATGTCTAATAAACAAAATTATGAAATTTTGTTAATTTTTAGTTTGTTGTTTTTCAAAATAACTTAATTAAATTTTCCTTCTGGAAAAAACAACAATTTCTAATAAATTTTAATGCAATTTATAATAAAAATAAAATAAAAATGCTAGAGAAAGTAGATACTGCCCAACTGGCAATATCGCTATTCATTTTTGGGTAGTTTGCATTACCAATGTATCAAATCAATTACCAATGTTCTATAGCTTTTAGTCAATATAAAATCACTTAATTTACACTAGAAACTAAAAAATAGCAGAACAGCTGACAAATGCACTGAACTTGGGCAATCAGACTGTCCTTAAAAACAAAAACCTACTGACTCTTTTTATCTTTTATTATCCACTAGAAATTTAAAAATAGTGATAATGGAAGAAAATATACAAAAAGGGCATTCTTGTTTTTAATCGGTTTCTTTGATGAAACAATAAATTTGTGTTTTTTGTGGGGTTTTTTTTAAAGCATGGTTGTAAGTCGAGAAAATCTCGCCAGTGTAGATGCTTTGGCCAACGACGTATGTAGCAATTAAATAGCCCGCCTGCGTTTGCCGCGCTCGACCCACGGAAACATTTAACGGCTTCCTTGATAGGTAGTCAACTCCAAACGAGCGAGTGGTAGGATATAAAGCCGGAGATCGTGGGTTCAAGTTCCGCTCTTGACACTAATTTTTCTTCTCAAGTTTCTTTGCTTAAAACTTAAAAGAAACTGTTAAGATAGGTAATGCAAAATAAATTTTATTGCATTTTCACTTCATGAAAGTGAATCGGGACGGAAATGGGGTCGCTTCAACCCATTCGATAACTACCAAATCTAAACGATACGAAGGAACACCGACCCAGGCAAAAGATTTTCTTTTTTTTTAAATAAATATACAATCATCAAGAATCTAGGATCTTTTCCGTTTTTGGTTTATCCTTGCACAGAAGTTGTGTCTGGTGGTCACGCGACGGTTCGTCAGCTTCCTTTAAAAGAGTCGGGCGGATGCATGGAAGAGTAGGATTGCCTAAGCCAGGATGTGAGCACGCTCTGATAAGCCAGCACCTATCGGCCGAGATCTCCCCATTCGGCAACCTTCGTCGAGTTGACGTGTTGTAAAATCACTTCCGCCGCCGGCTCCCTTGGAAAAGTAGGACCGTACGGATGAAAATAAGTTTTCCGTTTTCTGTTTCAGGCTGGAGGAGTTGAAACTGGACGGTAACCTACTGGAAAGTCTTCCAGAAGGAAATTTCAAAGCGTTGAAGCTGCTCAGCGCTACCGACAACAGAATCGCATCGCTCCCTCCCTTCCTCGTTCGACAACCCATGAGGGCGCTCACACTCCTGGTAAGTAAATAATTTCAATCATTTTCTGAAAAATTTAAAGCAATAATTTAAAACACGAAAAAAGACAGTGAAGTCCCTAATGCACAGTGGAAGAAGTCACACTCCGAAGAGTAAGCTAATCGCTGCCGAGCCCACTTGCCGAATAGTCTGTTGTTAACTAGTTAAAAATACCGTTAAAATTCAGCCGTATAATAAACTGAGTTCATTTTTTTTTCTCTCGAAGTAGTTGATTTATTGGTTCCTTGAGCAAGAAACGGTCCCAGAGAGGCTTTCGTTCAAACGCGAAGGTACTATAAACCACGTTCGATCTACCCAATATGATTTATATCGAGAAATGTATTTTCCAGGAAAGTGAGAGATAGCCATCACTCAAATATTGTACAATTACAAATAGTTAATATACGATTTTATATCTTGTAAGGAAAGTCGCGAACTTTTAACTAATTAAATTTGATTTCAGTCCAATATATTATAAATGTGAATCATCTGAATGTGATAAATGTCTAAATCAGGCTATATCTTACGGGAAGTTGGGAATACTCTCTCTTTCTCTTCTTTCTTTCTCTTTCACGTACTCTCCTCTATTTCCATCTCGTTCTCTCTATCTCTCTCTGTCTACCATTTGATCGATTTTCTCTATTTCTATTTATATGCCTGCATATGTTTTCTCTATCTATATTTTTCATTCTCCCATTCTCTCTCTCTCACTCTCTCTCTCTCTCTCTCTCGCAAGCTCTTACTATTTCGATATATCTATCTACAACTATGTACCTATCACTATCTATTTATTTATCTCCCATTTAATTTTTTTACCTGCCTCATTGTCTCTTTCTCTCTCTATGTCTCTCTCTCTCTCTCTCTCTCTCTCTCTCTCTCTTTCTTTCTTTCTCTCTTTCTCTCCCCCTCGTTCTTCCTTTCCCTATCTTTATATTTCTCTTTGCCTGTCTTTCTCTCACTTTCTCCTCTTTCCCTCTCTCTGTCTTTATCTCCCTCTCGTCCTTCCTTTCCCTACCTTTATATTTCTCTTTGTCTGTCTTTCTCTCACTTTCTCTTCTCTCTCTCTTATCTTTCTCTCTCTCTCCTCTCTTTCTCTCTCCTCTTCTCTCTCGTTCTCTCTCTCACTCTCTCTCGTTCTCTCTCTTTCTCTCTCTCGTTCTCTCTCTCGTTCTCTCTCTTTCTCTCTCTCGTTCTCTCTCTCTCTCTTCTCTTCTCTTCTCTTCTCTTCTCTATCTCTCTCATCTCTTCTCTATCTCTCTCATCTCTTCTTCTCTCTCTCTCTCTCTTTCACTTTATCTCTCTTTTGATCTTGTTCTCTCTATCTGTCTCTATCTACCATATTGATCTATTTTCCCTACCTCTATTTACATGCCTACATATTTTTTCTCTACCTCAATTTCTCATTCTCCCATCACTCTCTCTCTCTCTCTCTCTCTCTCTCTCTCTCTCTCTCTCTCTCTCTCTTTCACTTTATCTCTCTTTTGATCTTGTTCTCTCTATCTGTCTCTATCTACCATATTGACCTATTTTCCCTACCTCTATTTACATGCCTACATATTTTTTTTCTTCCTCAATTTCTCCTTCTCCCATCTCTTTCTCTCTTCTCTCTCTCTCTCTCTCTCTCTCTCTCTCTCTCTCTTCATTTTTCTTTTTAATGATAACTTTTATGGGCAAACACACCCTCGTACAAAAACTTCACTAATTCCTTACTCTTAAATCGTTCCTTTGCCGTCTTTTTGTAGTATAGTCGATTTGATCAATCTTTATATATTATGATATATAAACGAAAACTAATTGTACTCTGAATATGACATATTGAAATTTATAAACTGTTTATAACACTGTTTTAAAATTGCAGTGAGGGGAAAAAAATAATTCTGTATTTTTTTCTATTAACATTTTACTCAGGTTTATATGAATCACTGATTGCAGAAGGGGACATGTCCATTTTTTAACTTTTTCCCACTATATTCTATACTACAAATAGAGCTATGTTTGGTGCTAAAATGAGACATTTCAGCTGATTGGATATGAAAGATAATGGGCCTTCAAATCTGCTTTGTGCGCAAAAAGGAGTCTTTAAACGAACTACGTCCTTAAAAACACGAAGACTACTTGCAAAAGATAAAAAGAAATTCATGATTTCATCATGCCATTACTTTGAGATATCTTCCCAAGCGCCAGGCTCTAAAACGACTGAGTTCATTGATGATGGCCTACCATTTCCAGCTGAGGAAGGGAAATACTCCCAATATTGCCCTACGAACTGAAGAGTTGTACACGTTAAAGATTCCAGTCAATGCTGCAAAAATGTAGGATTTGAAGAGCCTTAAACCGTTCATCCCACAAACGGCAGTTCACACTTTTTGGAGTTCATTTTACGCTAGCCCTACAGCTCCTTGAAACAAACTATCGAGTTAATATTGTACTTTTTGGTCTTATGTTTTTACTTTAATGGTGTTTGAAACGTCTTTTTACAATGTATTTTTAATTGTATTAAATATTTTCGAGGCGGTAATTTCATTTTTTGCAGAAAACGATCCGTTCTCCAACAAAAAATATTGAAAGCAGAACAGAAAAATGTCCACACCACAAAAGTGGTTATCCTGCTCACAAGCGTTGATGAATTTGAGGAAAATCTCAAAATACATTTGTAGAATAGCCTAATTAAGGTCCTGTAATTTATTCAAAATTTTAGAACAGAAGATACCTCATTAAAACAGTTTTTTGCCTCTTCTGTAAAATTTAGTTTATCGGACATGTCCCCTTCTGCAATCGGTGATTCATATAAAATGTGGAAATTACATTTCTTGTTATTTGTAATTGAACATTTCTGTAATTCTTTCAATTCGAGATAAAGGGTGAGCAAATATCCTGCGCTTTTTATGAAATAACTTCCTGACTGAAAACAATTGAAAATGGGGATTCAGACGTCCTGTAGTACAGACAATTAAAATGTATTTTGTCATTTTTAATTTCCAGGATGCTAACGAGGGTGAGGAAAGGGTGAAACCTGAAGACCTTAAGAGCATAAACCTAAGGGCCAACCTGTTAAAGGGTAACATCATCCTCGGCAATTACGGGGTAAGTCAATGTCTGAATCAAGTCCGACTTAGATAAATCAAAGGGAATAGAATGCGTAGGAGGAAAACGATGCGGATAAAAACCGAAATGGGCCGTAACCAAGCAAGAATACCGCCGCATTACAACACAAAATGCAAATAGAGGACTTCCTTAGAAATCCTAGCGGACCCGCCGACTTTTTGGCACTGAAGAAATGTTGAAACGGTTCAATATTCGCCGGTTGATTAATTGCCAAACTGAGGCTATTACCTTCGGAGGAAAGGCGCTCCACCTGCCCTAGCAAAAGCATGACTAATGCGCTAGGAAAACTTTCAATTACCCGTTTTCCCACAGCACCTGCGAAATTATTGATACCGACAAGGATTTATAGCACAGTTTTTGATATTTCCGAGCCCATCAATGTTGGGAATCTTTTGTTCCAATGGCTTTTATGGCTTGAGCGAACCGACGAAATCGATCCTGCTCGATTGCTTCATATTCGAAAACGTAAAACAACACAGAAAAATTAAAAAAAAACACATATCTAAATGACATGTTTTAGCAAAATCCATCGAAAATAATAGGTATTATCTCGAGTGTAAGACTACTTAGACTACTTGTTAAGCCAGAATGTTTTGAACACACTTGTGCACATAGTGTAAGAACTAGTAGATGTTTAAATTATCGTTACATAGTGCTTGCAACTTCAAAACTATCAAAATAAAAAAATATGCTTAATAAAAAAAAATCAACTTTTCCGGCTAAAAAATAAACGAAACAAACTATTTATTCTTATAGTGTAAACAAAAAGTATATAAAAGAATAAGTTTTAGCTTAAAAACAAAAAACACAAACAAGAGATAGTAAAGTACATATGCCGGTCAGTATCGCTGTTCTCCGGAAAAGCGTGTTTGTTGACAAGTCGTCTTCCTTAGAAACTCGTCAACGTTCCAACTTTTGCTCATTGGAGAAGTGCTTAGTGTGCGAAGTTCTTTGGAGGATTGACTTTAATACTGTCTATATTTTTTCGTAAACTAGTTTTTTTTAAATATAGAATGAATATAAATCAGTCCTTTAATTCTCCAAATTTTACCCTATAATATTACGTGTTGTTTCACTTTAATGCAAGATTTTTAGAGACGCAAGGCCGAACTTATACTGCTGTAAATGGATTATTAGAAAATAAACATATATGATATTAAACCATTAAACCAAATCGAATTTGTTGATAATTTTTGTAATGCCAATGAGTATGTGCATGTGTGCGTGTGCGTGTGTGTGTGTAAATAGATATATAGAAATACAAAAAATAGGTAGATATGGTACATGGAAACAGCTAAAGAAAGAGAGAGAGAGAAAGAGGGAGAGTGAAAACAGATAGAGAGAAAGAAAAACAGAGAGAGAGAGAGAGAGAGAGAGAGAGAGAGAGAGAGAGAGAGAGATAGTAAATAGAGATGTATAAAGAGAAAATAGAGAGAGAAAGTGAGAAATAATTAGAGAGAGAGAAAGAAAAAATAAAGGCGGAGAGAGGGAAAAGGCAAAAGAGAGAAATGGGCTAGACCGATATAAAAGGAAAGTGGGAGAAAGAGAAAGAGAAAATATAGAGGCAGAATGAAATGGTGAAAATAGATTCGCATGGTAGAGAAAGATAGAAAAAAGGGAAATAGGATTAGAGAGAGACAGAAAGAAGTAGAGAGAGAGAGAGAGAGAGTGAGGGAGGGAGAGAGAGAGAGAGAAAGTAGTAGTAGATAGAGAGAGAGAAACAAAATTAAGATAGAGATAGAGAAAACAGATAAATAGAATAGGTAGGTAGAGATGGATAGATAGATAGATAGAAAGAAAGAGAGAGAGAGAGAGTGAGAAAAAAACAGCCAAAAAATGGATAAAGAGAGTGGGAGAAAAAGATAGAGAAAACAATCAAGTAAGGAAAATAGATATGGTAGAAAGAGATATACAAAGAGAAAATAGAAGAGAAAGTGAGAAAGAATTAGAGAAAGGGAGAGAGAGAAAATAAAGGCCGAAAGAGGGAGAAGGGCAAAAGAGAGAAATGGAGTGCGAGACCGAAATAAAAAGAAAGTTGAGAAAGAGAAAGAGAAAGCATAGAGACAGAATGAAATGGTCAAAATAGATTGATATTGTAGAGAAAAATAGTAAAAGGGGAAATAGAGTTAGAGAGAGAGAGAGAGAGAGAGAGAGAGAGAGAGAGAGAGTAATAGTAGTAGTACATAGAGAGAGAGAGAGAAAAAAATTAAGATAGAGATAGAGAAAACAGATAAATAGAATAGGTAGGTAGAGATAGATAGATAGATAGAAAGAGAGAGAGAGAGAGAGAGAGAGAGAGAGAGAGAGAAAACAGTTAAAAAAATGGACAAAGAGAGTGGGATAAAAAGATAGAGAAAACAATCAAATAAGGAAAATAGATAGATATGGTAGATAGAGATGTAGAAAGAGAAAATAGAGAGAGAAAGTGAGAAAGAATTAGAGAAAGGGAGAGAGAGAAAATAAAAGCAGAAAGAGGGAGAAGGGCAAAAGAGAGAAAAGGAGTGCGAGACCGAAATGAAAAGAAAATTGAGAAAGAGAAAGAGAAAGCATAGAGACAGAATGAAATGGCGAAAATAGATTGACATGGTAGAGAAAAATAGAAAAAGGGGAAATAGAGTTAGAGAGAGAGAGAGAGAGAGAGAGAGAGAGAGAGAGAGAAATTACTAGTAGATAGAGAGAGAAAGAAAATTAAGATAGAGATAGAGAAAACAGATAAACAGAGATAGATAGAAAGATAGATAGATAGAAAGAGAGAGAGAGAGAGAGAGAGAGAGAGAGAGAGAGAGTGTAGTTTTTTAAATTAATTTACTTGTTTCGCCTTAGGAATTTTTTGTATGAAGTAGTGCAGAACATTCTGAAGGACGCCAAATGCACTGAGGTACGTGTTTGATTGACTCGTTGAAAGAATGCTGCCACATTCAAACAGTAGGTGATGAACCGACTTAGCCGAACTTTGATAGCATGAACGGGCTTGATGTTTTATTGTACTTATACTGATAGGCTTGACAAATTTAATTACCATATTTCTATGAATATAATGCTGAATAAAATATATTGCAACGTGTTTGTTTGAGAGTTTTGTAATTTCGTTTATGAATGCGAGATACAAAGGCGGATCAGAATTGTAAGAAGTAAAGGGGCGTGGCAGGCGAGGGCATTGCCGTCCTGCGACAGTTTATGCCCCATGAACTGCAAAAAGAAATATGCGACAAAGCAGTATAATTTAGCGGTCGTGGCCCCGTCGCGATTTGGACCCTCGGAGATAGCCCATTTAGATTCGAACCAAAGGCGAAAAGGGATGCGAACGTGAGTTGGCTTCGTTTAAAATGAACCACTACGGAGAAGTACGTAGAATATTTTTTTCTTTCTTAATCGACGACGTACCGTGGCAGGTCTCCTGGATTTAAGCCCGGGCAAATTCGTGTTGTTATTTATGAAAACTACCAGGCCACCGATCAACGTCAAATTAACAGGGCAATGAATCCTCGACAAGCAAATATAATAGCAGTCCTCAGCGCCAAGTAGCGCTAGCTCTTAATTTACATTAACTTCAACTTGTCTCATGGTGTTTTAATCGTTTACAGCAGTCTCTTTTCTTTCGTAAAAAGTTTGTACAATTATGGCCCAATCAGTTTCAACATTTTCTACTCAAAACCCCTTAATTCGGTGTCATTGCGATTAATAAGCCGGTAAGAGATTATTCGCATATTTTCGTATTATTCATTGGCTTATTAGAGTTCAGTGAAAGTGAATATAATTGGAATTACATTGATTTTATGATTTATGAATAAGGTGAAACAGCTTGATGAATAGTTTCTCAATGAAGACAGAACTAAGCCGACACGCGTTTGAGTAACATCAAAACCCGGGAGGGAGTATACACGGACCCAGTGCCGGTTCAGCATGAGTTCACCGACTTGCAGTCTAACACCCACCATCAACAACTAGAATGTTCTTCGAATATTTCGAAAGGACGACAAGGTTGCGAAGTCATACCCGTTCCAGTCGCCCGATGGGATTATTGAAAGGAGTGTTTGTTGTGGTTTGTGAAAAATTGTTGGCGATTATTTTTTCCACGAGGGTGATTTTGAAATTATTCTGAAGGGTGATGTTGAGGACGTAGTAAGGAGCTATGGTTCTGAGGACTTTGGATTGGAAGGATGGATTATTTTGATTTGGACGATAGCTTGTTGCTTGACTTCTTGTTAACCTCAGTTTAGTCAGTCATAAAAATTTCTTTTAGTATTATTTGGTGGGTTTGTTTTCAATCCGTTCGATTTGCGGCCAGTGGTTTTATGTAGTAGGCGGAAGTGTCTCGTGATCTATAAGGGATTAGTTTATTTATCAAAGGTATTTCAGGTCATTGTGAAGGGAGTTGTTATAGTCATAGTAGGGAGCGTTGACTATGATTCTGAGGATTTTGCATTGGAAGAACTGTCAGAGGTTGGTGGGTGTAGGGTTGTCCCATTTTTCTAGTCCACTTTTTTTTTTTTTTTTTTTTTTTTTTTTTTTTTTTTTTTTTTTTTTTTTTTTTTTTTACGAGGATTTGCAACAGCAGAGGTCATATAAATCCCCCGGTGTTTTTGAAAAAAAGCCCATTTGTAAGTATATCGGTTTCGAATGCAGGGCCGCTGGATTCGAACCCGGGACCTTTACCTTACAGTGATGAGCGCCGTGTCAATGACTAAACCTTGCGGCCACCGACGCCCCCTGGTCGTTTTTTTGTCGTTATATGGATATTAGTGTGTACAGAAAAGCGAAGCGTTTATTAATTCCTGTCTGTTTATTTGTGTTCGGTTCCAGGTTAGACCTGAGTAAAAATACAACATATGCTGACACAATAAGTTCTAGGTATAATAGTATTGTTAAAGAATATTTATTATCGGTTTTGCTTCGTTGGTTACAGTTGTTTACATTTCGCTTAATCCGAAGTCTTTATGGAATTTCTCCAAGAAGGTTGGAGGATGTAGTCGGGATTT